AGGCAGTATCACTATGGAAGTAGATTGCCCAACCTTCCTTCCGAGGAGTGGCTGATGGGTTTGAACTGCCAGCCTTCTGGTTAGCAGTCAAGTGCCTTAAGCACTATGCTACCAGAGCTCTCATATACTATACTACATACATATACATTCTGTTCCTTTAGCACAGATACTTTGTTCAACTCACATTCTTTCAGCATCTCCTAGTTCTTTCTAATCAGGCATCAAGTCCTACAAATTCTTCCTCCTCAAAGACAATTCCAGCCTCATGAGCTCCCATTTAGGAACTCCAGTGGCTTAGTGCCTAAGGCATCTATCTGACTTTTAACCAGAAGACTGGTGGTTCAAAGCCCCAGCCACTCCTCGGAAGGAAGACTGGGCAATTTACTTCCATAGTGACACTGCTCAGAAACCCAAGGAGGGATCACTTTAAGTTGGATCCAACTTGACAGCAGTGGGTTTGGGAACTCCCATCTGAACTACTGCACTAGCATTTTTATGATTTTCCTCTGTCCTCCAGTTTCTCCCTACTCTAGTAAAATTACTTAAGTAAACCAGATTGTAAGCTCCATGGAGCAGGCACTATGACTTTACTCACCTCTGTGTTTCTAAGATCTAGCATACTGCCGTGTCCTCAAAAACTTCTCAAAGACCAGTTTCCTTTCAACTCTGCCAAAGTAGGCCCTTCTTATCTGGCAATTCAAATATAAACTCCCTACCGCATTCCATCAATTTCTCCAGGCACTTCCTACTCTTTATCCCAAAAAAACCAAACTCACTGCTATGGAGTCAGATCCGACTCGTAGCGACCCCTTCTTGGGTTTCCGAGGCAGCATCACTACAGAAGTAGATTGCCCAACCTTCCTTCCGAGGAGTGGCTGGTGGGTTAAATTCCTGGTGAAGACTGTTTTGTTTATCCTTTCCGACACATGCCTTGATAGTACCCACCTTAGCTTCTGTAGTTCTACTTTCTTAGAACATCCTCTTCATTAATTTCCTATAAAACTCATGTCTTCCAAGGAAGCTAACTAGAACTATGCACAATGGGATGGCTCCAATTATCCCAAATTTACTTATAGGGAAACTGAGGTAGAGTCTACATTTAAGTAGCATGCCCAAAGTCAAACAGCTTGGTATCATCTTGAACCCAGGCAGCCTGGCTGGGTCAACCGGACAGGCAGCATTTTGTTCTGTTGGACATAGGGTCACTATGAGTCAGAACCAATTCAACAGCACCTAACAACAGTCTGGCTGCAGAGTGACGTGTTTACTTACACTGTGGCTACATCTGGGATAGGGATAATATCCCTTGTTGTCTTCCCTCCCGCAAGCAGATATTGTGCTGAGAGTTACGTGTTTTAGAAAGGAATCACATTTTATTACATTTTGGAGTAAAACAGAAATGAAATTCTGCAATAAAAAAAAAAAAAAACTGGATAGACTCTCTTAATGATTTACAAATATTGCACTGGAAATAAACCCAAGACATATTGTTAAGTGACAAAGGCAAGTTGCAAAAGAGAAAATGTAACAGATACTTCTTTAAAAAGTCATAAAATATGTTACTATATGAGTGTAAAAAATCTAGACACTGAACTCATAATAGTAGTTATCTCTGGAAAAAGCAGGATTATGAGGACTTTCACTTTTCATATATCTTTCCATCATACTTGAATTTGTAAGTGACATATGTTTATTAGTTTTGTAGGAACTAAATAAGATAAATTTATTTTAAAATCATCTCCTTTATCAATATATTTTCAGACACTCTCATTGCAATGGAAGCAATTTTTCAGTGATTCATTGCAGATGAAACTGCTAACTTTAAGCTTTCTTTAAGAAAAAACACTTACTAAATTTCAAAAAAAGATATGTATCTTTTATATTGTTTAGGTGTACATATATGCAAAAGTTTCATTTTTAATGAGTAACTTTGAGAAACTCTAATTTTGACAAACTAATAATCAAGGGACAAACTAATTATCAAGGGCATAAAAATCATTCTTATCTTAGTTTAAAGAAAAAATATTATGGAACTTTATGAGGAATCACAGTTCATTCCCTTCATCTTACACATGAGGAAAGCTCCAAAAATCAAGGAATTTGCTTCAAGCTCATAGCTAAATAATGGCAGAGCTAACATGAGAACCTTTCTCTCCATCTCCCCAGCTTGGTGCTTTTCCTCCTCATATCATACTATTTTTTTTCATTTCTATGTGCTTTGAAATAATTAAGAATAGCATTACTCCAATTTGAACAGTTAGGATTCAAGTCTTCCACTTTCATAAAGGTCTACTTTCATATTCCATTTAGTGTCGAGTGGTTGTACAAGCTTCTTTTAAAATGGACAAAAGCTCTAAAAATTCAACCAAATAAACACAACTTTTGATGCTACATTGTTATAGTGTTTTCTTTTACAGTGATTCCCCCTCGATAGAATTTTAGAGGCTTTATATAATTAAGATCATTTTGAAATGATCTCCTAGTAGTTTTAAATTCAGGAAATTTAACACTTATTCAATACTACTATCTAAATAACCAATCCATATTTGAACTTGCCCCCAAATTCTTCTTTATAACCACTTATTTTTTGGCTTCATGACCCAGGCCAGGACCACACATTGCATTTAGTCATCAGGTCTCTTTCAACTACTTTAATTTAGAACAGTTAATTCCTCAGCATTCTTTTGTGTTTCATGATCTTTTTTTTTTTTTTTAAGAACACGTCTGTTGTTTTGTAGAATTTGAATTTTATTTAATATGAGTTGAAAGCTAGCCTTAATTTAGAAGACATAAAGTCTTCTAATAACATAAAAAAAGAATACTTTCCATTTTACTGGAAAGATATAAAAACACTACCTATTTGCAGAAAAGATAAAAAAAAAAAAGTACGTGGTCACCACCATAAGCTTGTTCACAGAATTTTAAAGTGTAAATAATAATTATGGAAACATCAATTTCTAATAGCCTATTAAGCCTGGGGCTTTTTTGAGTAGGTTATTTCTATACTTAACGGGAAGCACTTTGTATTTTAATAAGAGTGTTAAGGTTCTATTATGCAAAAAATTATGGCCTTTGTGAATTTCAATGTGCTAATATCCATGTGCTATTATCCACAAGTGGTAACAATTTTATTTTATTCATTTTTGTTTAAATGAACGTATCAATAAAAATGGTTGAATTAAAAAGCCAGTTACACTGTTTCTATTTGGGTAGTTACATATCTAGATCTAGTAAGTCTGTGGTGTAAACTATGGGCATTGGTTCCTCTAGAAGTAATGTGGGTACAATATGATCTACTTCCTGCTTGTTGTTGTTATTATGTACTTTTGAATCCATTCCAACTCATAGTAACCCTGTAGGACAGAGTAGAACTGCCTCATATAGTTTCCTAGGCTGTAATCTTTACAGGAACAGATCTTTAGGGCTTTTCTCCCAGAGAGCACCTGGTGGGTTCGAACCACCAACCTTTCAATTAGGAGCTAAGTGCTTCATTACTGCACCACCAGGGCCCTTAATTCCTGCGTAAGCAATAAATATTAGAAAACCAAGCTGACACACATAATGCTTTTCATATTCTTCTGAAGGACCTTGTTGTTGTTATGTGCCGTTGAGTGGGACCCGACTCATAGCGACCCCTCCTTGGGTTTCCGAGGCGGTATCACTACAGAAGTAGATTGCCCAACCTTCCTTCTGAGGAGTGGCTGGTGGGTTTGAACCACCAGCCTTCTGGTTAGCAATGAAGTGCCTTAGAGCTCCTTAGAAATAGTATTATTATTTCATTTATGTAAGTGTTAAAATAGGCAACCAAACAACTGAAACATTGTTAAAGACCAGAGAAGACTGGAAAGACATGACAAGTAAATGCAATATGGTACTTTATTTGGATCTTGGAGCAGAAAGAGGACACCAATTGAAAAACTGGTGAAATGTAAATAAAGTCTGGCATTTAGTTAATACCAGGCATTGATGTCAGTTTCTTAGTATTGACAAGATTGGGCAACTACTTCTGTAGTAATACTGCCTCGGAAACCCAAGGAGGGGTCGCTATGAGTCCGTCCGACTCCACAGCACATAACAACAACAATAACAATGTAAAATGTTAACAATGGGGGAAGCTGAGTGAAGGGTACATAAACACGCTCTATTAACATTCCTATTAATCTGGAATTATTCAAAAGTGGAAAGTTCATTTTAAAAAAATAACCATTTGCTTGATCAATTTAACAATAGTAATACAATGAAATAATGAATTAAATATATTTGTTTGGTACTTACCTTGGATGTCTTTGTCTATCACACTTAGTGATACAAAGATAGTAACCAAGTAATCCAAAAATAACCAAAAATACTCCAGCAGCAATTAATCCAGTCAGAAGGCCCAGAACATCGATTTTCTCTCTGTTACCATCTTCAGAGACATTATTAAAATAACATAAGTATAACAATTGAAAAGCACCACATGTGATTTCAACACATTTAACACTGGATCTGAGAACACTATTAAGCACCTAATACTGAATAATGCTTTATTTAAAAAGTCTTTGTGTTAGAGATACTACCCGAGAAATTTTTAAATGACACTTCCTAAAAGCCCTAGTTACAGTAATTAATTAATTTATTTTAAATAAGTCATATTAAGTGAATAATATTCAACACTGAGTGGGACAGATATATATTTTGTTCAACTGGACACATTTGATATTAATCATTAAGATAAATTTGTTAAGCAACTCTTGTGTACCTGTGTAATACAATCTCTTTTACACTAAAACCAAAACCAAACTCACTGCTGTCAAGTTGGTCCTGACTCATAGCAACTCCTCCTTGGGTTTCCAAGGTACCTCTACGGAAGTAGATTGCCAGTCTTTCTTCCGAGGAGTGGCTGATAGGTTTGAACCATCAACCTTTTGGTAAGCAGTCAAATGCCTTAGACACTAGAATAGCTGGCCAAAAAACAAACAAACAAAAACCCACCCAACTAAAAAGCATTTAGAGATGATCAACACAGAAAGAAAAAAATAAAGGATCTCCTTTCTCTAGAAATTAACTTAATTCTTTCTATCCAACCGTCTTAATTTATCTTCATTTGTAATGGTAAAAAGGGGAGATAAAAATAAAAAAAAATACTTTACTACTTGAAACTAATGGAGTCTTACTTTTATTCTGTGCAAGTCCTGACTTAGCTGATGTGTTTAAAACAATTTTAAGCCTATTATCTCATTTCCCTAGTATCTCACCAAACTTGATTTTCAGTGTGTGAACAGATGAATACGGCATTCTCTGTCTTAAATGACCCAGTGTATAATTAAGAAGTTCTCCTTGCATTTACAAGGTAGCAACAACCAAACTCTAACAATAAGACTAAAATGTAATACAATAGGGGGTGAGAAAAACATTATATTTGCACAATTCTTGCCTTACCTGATTTTGTTATTGGTCCTTTACTTGAATATTCCTGCCAAAATATCATCTGTGAAAATGGTAAAAATACAAGTTTATTTAATTTCTTTATTATAATTTTATTTTATCTCAATGACCTAGATTAAAGATAGCAAACTCTTGGCATGTGCCCCAGGTAGGATACCAGTATATTCAAGTGTGACTCACTTTAATTAAAGCACTACCACTCACCACTGCCTCTGCTTTCTCTGGAATTGGTCAGGGGATTACTGCCAGGCCCAGCTCTGTTATTTTATCCTGCTATTCTCCCTTCAAGGAATTTGGTGGTGCAGTAGTATAAGCACTCAGCTGCCAACCAAGAGGTGAGTGGTTTGAACTCACCAGATGCTCCTCAAGAGAAAGATGTGGAAGTAGGTTTCAGTAAAGAGTTACAGCCTTGGAAACCCTAGGGAATAATTCTAGTCTGTCCTATAGAGTTGCTATGAGTTGGAATTGACTCAACAGCAGTAGGTTTATTGCCCCTTCACTGGCTTGGAGCCCCTACTCCTCAGACATCACTTCCCCTTCCAGATAATTATAAATTACAAGTTAGACTATTCTATTTCTAAAGTGTTGGTTCCCTATTATCCTGTCTGAGAATAATTAGTGTGGAAAATACCACATTGGAGAAGGTTGGTCAAAGTACCAAAGGCAGAAGAAGTTGAGGCTGTGGACCCATTATCATGCTCCCCAGTGACAAACAGTCCAAATTTTTCTACATTAGATGGGCCTTCAGTCCTCTAGATTTTATTGCAAGTTATTCATTGATTTGGAAAAACATCCCTGAGACAGCTCTAAATTTAGTGTTACTTGAGAGAATACAAGCTGATTTTAAGAGACCATGATAAAATTAGAAAACAGAATTGTGGAAAAACAGAATAAAATCCCAAGAGGGAGGTACAGACAACAAAGATGAACCCTTTTGCACATACAGTACTGCATTGTCAGTGAAGGCAAACATGGGTATGTGGATGGATAGATGGGTGGACAGGCTGAACTCTTAGGCGTGTCTATGAAGTGGGGAGTGTACCCAAGAACATGTATAGGGTTGGCAGACAATGGTACTATAAGTTTATGTGAATGATCAGAATTCCCAGGTGTATAGCAGAGCTGACAAGGGGCAAGGTTGTGGTCATGCCTTGGTCACAGCCAGCTATGCA